TGCCGACCACGTGGGACTGGGGGGCACTTGGCTCTCGCCACTGGCCTCAGCTCTCGTCACCATCCTCTGCAGTAGCGTCAATAAATCCAAAGGTCTTTGAGTCCCTGAGCTCAGTTGGGTGCTGCTGGGGCGCAGGGGCTGAGATGCGGGAGCCAGGCGGCCCCATGGCACTGCTGGGAGTGTGCCGATGTCAGGGGGGGTCACACAAGGTTGTTGGCCAGGCGCTCCCGTCGCTCCAGATCGCTCACCACGTCGGCACCATAGGCATCGCCTGGGGAGACCAATGGTGTGAGTAGGGGGGACACAGGAGCTGCGGCACTCCCAGCCCCGCCAATTGCCTCCACCCTGCCCGCTGTGCCCCCTCTGCTCCCATCCCTCCGTACTCGTGTGGCAGCCGTGCATCCAGATGCGCTGCCCGTCGTACTTGCACTGGCACCGCATCACGTTGTTGGAGAAGTCTGACTCGGCCACCTCATGCTTGGGGTTCACGACCACCTGGGGAGGGCAACGGCAGGGGCGGGGGCACCACAGGCGCAGGGCCATGGCATGCACCGTGAGGTGCAGAGCAGCACCTTTACATGCAGGGTGAGGGGTCTGTAGTGCCCATGGAGGGTGGTCCCCAGCCCAGAGCTCCAGTGGCTTAGTGCCCCCCTGCCCCTCTGTCCCCATACCTGGAAGGTGTAGCTGCCTGGCAGCACATCGGTGATGTCGATCCACTGGCAGTCGATGTCATGGCGGTAGGTGTCCCAGCACCCCACGCTCACCCCCTGCTCCCCAAAGTTGGCACAGGCAAAGCGTCGCTGCAGCCCTGCAGGAGGGAGGGGAGGTGAGGGAGGGCACAGGTGCTCTAAAGCCCCTCCTTGGGACTGGGACAAGGAGGTGGCTGGCAACACTTCGGCTGGCATCTACCCTCGGGGCAGTTGGTGTCCTCCAGGCAAAAGCTGGCCTTGTGCCCCTCAGCCACCTTGGAGCCGTTGAGCGTCAGCAGGTCGTAGTGGGTGAAGACCTCGATGCTGTGGAAGTGCCTGCAGGGACAGGGGCTGAGCCAGGGGAGCACGCGGCCGGCCTAGCCGCCCAGCCAGGAGCGGACAGCACCCAGAGGCTCTAAGCAA